CAGATCTGTTTCTTTATGATGGACCTTTGCCAGTGCAAGAGGTGAAAAAAATGTCCATACACACACACAAACACACAATGTATCTTTCTTCATTCTCACTACATTTATTTTTTGAATTAAATGGCCAGGCATCTACGGCTGATACAGCTTAAAAATAATGTCTTACAATTAATTTTCATTCTTTAAGTACAAAAAAAACTTCAGATGAAATATGGTACTAGGTCTGAAGCTTTTTATAGAGAATCAGACTTTTTTTTCATATTTATAGTTTAGGAGTAAATATGAATCTCCAGCAGAAGAAAACTCTGCAGTATAAAAAAACAATTAAGACAGATTCCCTTAAAGCATGGATAATTTTCAACCAATGGTACCAGAGTTTAATTCCAGACACTTTGAAAGGTTAAAAGTTGTGGATTCAATTTCATCTTTCAGAAGTGTGACAGGGTTAGTTAATTTCCTAGAAAACTTGGTCTTCAAAAACCTTGTTTCAAGAAACTATGTACTTTCCATCCTGAAAACTGCCCTGAGTTTGATATTTGATTCCACATATCAGATGTAACAAGCAATCATAATTACAGTACCACCATATGGTCAATAGAAACTCAAAAGACTGCCAAAATAAACACACTAGTACAGTTTATTGGCACTTTCACTGTATTTCTTTTGGTTAACAGGAATATACATTCATAATATATAATAATTAATAACAGCTATAAAATGAAAGATACCTAGGGGTTCTCTGGTCTGTGTCAAAATGGAGGGCCATGGTCACTGCTTGGAAGAACCAAACTTCAACCTGTAATTTTTGGAGGTGGTTACTGAAATTATAATAAATTTGTACAGGCCTGCCAATTCTCACATATCACTCTACAGAAGCTGGCACAGCTGATACACATCAAGGATTTGGCCCAGAACTTACTGAAGCTGTGGAACAATGCCAGGATCTGCTGACGAAGGTGTCATGGGTGTCATTGGGCCCGGTGTCGCTGGTCCCATATTGGATGGTGTTGACATCTGGTTTGGAGTTACCATTGGAGACATTAAGATTTGCTAAAACATAAAAGCAGTATGTATCAACAATAAGATACTGTACAGCCTGTAACAACAATCTGCAACCAACCAGCATATTAGGAAAGATTGTGTGTAAAATAAGAACAATTTTCGAAATAATATGCATAAACAGCAATTCCAATCTCTGTAGGTTGATTGTTTCACATCATCCACTGGATAGCTATGTACTTAGTTTCTATTATAACATACAACTACAACTGAATTTTGGCCACTAGATTAGATACGTTAATATTGTCCTTCCATCACGCAACAGGAAATGTACCCCTGACATGTTTCAAATTTGACCCAGAATTCTGATCATAGCATGTCAATACACAATGTTACTCATTCCATATTAGGCATTTTTATTGAGGTACTCTCCTCCTTCATGTGCACAATCATCACATCCCATAGAATTACTTGGAAAATGACTCTAACTCCCTGCTAGCAGAACCCACAGGTTCAACGTCGACAACATAACAGCCCACTACCGGCCACAATCTTGAGCCAACGCCATCCATTTCTCATCCTCACAGCCCACCTCCCTAAGGTCAATCTTAATGTTATCCTCCCATCTCCTCCTTCCTGATCCACATAATTATTTACAATACAAAATAAAAATATCAGGTCAAATTTGAACTGCTCCTATAGTTTATTTATAATTTAACAATGCTTTTCCAGTAGCTCAGACCATTTAGCATCGAAGGAGAGGATGACGGTAAATAATAAATTTGGAAAGGATGTGGTAAGATGTGGTCATCACCTAGTTTAAGAAACTATCCCAGACTTTGCCAGGAGGGACTGAGAAAAACCAAGGAACCCCCCACCAGCAGGGTAGCCAGTCCCCTGTAGTTACATGCATTGCAACTCTATACAGCAAGTGGGCATGACCTACATGACACGA